CAATTTGGGGATTTGAACGGAAATCTATGGATCTTTAAGATTAATCCTAGTTAATATAAGTGTTTAGTAGTAGTAATCAACTCAAAATTACTCCAAAAACATTACCTTGGTTCATGGGAGGGAGGTGTTGGACGGATTTCCCTTGATATGCAAGCTCTAGCTCAAAGAAATGACTTAGCCTCTCTCTCTACTCGGCCTTGGGAGTATTTATAGGGCTCCTACATGCGCGGCCGTGCACATGGGCATCTGACCGAGCATCGATCGTGGACACGAGGCAGAAACCCCCTTATATGCACGGCCGCGCATTCTGGGCGCTCATATGGCATAGGTCTGGTAAAATAGCCATAACTTTCTGTATACATATCCAAATGATAAACGGTTTGATGCGGTGAAAACTATACTCAGAGGGCTTTAATTTGATAGGTATATCACCTCCTAAGTCTTTATATTGTGGGAGTGCTATTCATTTGAAGTTGGGTCTTGTGCTAATTGAGACATCCTTTCCACTTAATGTATCCAACTTGTTCCACACAAATTCTTGCCATTCACAAAACTCCTTAGTATGTTCCAACACACCTTAAACATATATTTTCATTTCAAAATAATGTGGTTCTGTCCCATGGGTCTCCTTTAATACTCGAATACGTTATTTCCAAATACCGTTGGCGCACTTTAAAATCTCAAATCATTAGGTAATTTTAACGGGCCCTTACACTGTCCAAACATACCGACCAATCCCAAAGCATAGCACGAACCTACTCGAGGCCTCAAATCACATAAAAAATATCAACTACGAATCACACCTCAATTCAAGCCTAATGAACAAACGTATATTTTCAAATTCAAAACTTGCACCGAACAAGCCTAAAGAACTCCGAATAACCTCAAATTTTTTATGCAAGTCCCAAATGACACAACAGACTTATATCAACTCGCTAAGTGGCAATTTTGGCCTTTGCGATCGCAAGTCTTTTTCCACGATTGCGAAGACGGGATCATTGGGCAGACTTGAATTAAATATAGGGCTTAGTCTCTTTTCTCTCTTTTTCCACTTGGTCTTGGACGATTTTGAGAGCATTTTGTGGGGGATTTTCATCAAAATCAAGAGGCAAGTGATCCCTATAAATTCTTGAGTTAAATACACAGATTATGGGTAGATTTAACATGAAATTGATAAAAATTTTGTGGAATTTTGTTGGAACCTAGGGTTTGGTAAAAATAAGATTTGACCACAAAATTGATTATGGACTTGAGAATAAATCATATATTTGTGTTCATGAGGTCATGGGTGACATTTATCTTCGAAAAGTTTTGGAATCTGGGCACGTGGGCCTGGAGGTGATTTTTATGGACTTCTCGAATTTGGAAATTATTTTAATAGCTAAATTATGAACTTTTAAGCATATAATTATTAGTTTAGACGACTTTTGATTAGTTTGGGAGTCCTCAACATCGTTTGAGAAGTTCTAGTGAGGTTGAAGAGCCAAATTGTGGACTTGGAATCAAGGTAAGTGTCTTGCCTAACCTTGTAAAAAGAAAGTTATCCCCTTAGGTGTATTAATTGTTGGGTGCTACTTATTGTGGAGAGATACATACGCACGAGGGGACGAGAGTCCGTACGTAGCTATATTCATGTTGTGTCCCGGTAGACTTAGATTCACTTCATGCCTTAATTGTGCTATTTGTATCTGTCTTGTGTATCGATTTCTTTGATTATGTCTGAGACTAAAAATTTGAATAAAGATAATGATTTAGCATCTTACTTTGGAAAAATTGGGAAATATTTGATGAACTATTGATCCATGTCTTCTTGACCCGCATGTACTCCCGCGAGCGAGGTAAATTTCTCTACTCTTATGGGATCGAGCCGTTTGCCTCGCCAGTGAATAAATTACTCTTATGGGAGCGGATCGTTTGCCTCGGCAGTATGGTAACATTATTCTTATGGGATCCCGTTCGCCTCGCCAGTGAATAAATTACTCTTATGGGAGCGGATCGTTTGCCTCGGCAGTATGGTAACATTATTCTTATGGGATCGGGCCATTCGCCTCGGCAGTACTGAGTACCACTATTCCTATGGGATCGGGTCGTTCGCCTCGGCAGCTTCGTACTTAATACTTTAGACTTGAGTTGGTTTGGTAACAGTTGAGTTAGCGCCTTCATGGACGGTTATGACACGTTTAATGATTTGATATAGACTTATGTGTGGAATTACTGTAATTACTTTTATTTGTTTCGTTGCTAGTTGTTGTATATTCACCATGTCTGCTTTATGTATTTTTATTACTATTTGACCACTAGTAAGTGACAAGTCGACCTCTCGTCACTACTTCTTCGAGGTTAGACTAGATACTTACTATGTACACATTATTTTCCGTACTCACACTACACTTCTGCACTGAATGCGCATTTACTGAGACATGTACTACCAGTGGTCACACGGACGCATAGCCGCACTTCTATGGAGACTTAGTGGTGAGCTGCTTGCCTTGCTTCGATCCGCAGCACCAGAGTCTCCCTCTACCTTGTTTACTATTTTTTTCTATTACCTTTAAGATAATAGTTGTATTAGTTTTGTATATTCTCTAGATTGTTCATGCATTTGTGGCACTGGGTTTTGGGGACTTTTAGCATTTATGTACTGTTGTTCTTATCATTACTGTCACTACAGTTGATGTATTTCTCACGCTAGTATTTTGTTGAGAAAAGAGTATGTACATTTGCATGAGAACTTACTTATTTCGTTCTTTTAAAAAGAAAACTTTTTATTTTTAAAGTTAAAAAGGGATAACTAAATTGTTGGTTCACATGTGGGCTTGCTTAACCGCGGCGTTAGGTGCCATCACGGTCTATAACGGGTTTTGGGTCGTGACAACACATCAAATATAGTACCTACAGGGTAAATTCCCTCTCACAAGGTTAGACAGAAGACTTACTTCGCTCTGAAATTCGATAACCGGATCCAACGCCTCTCTAACACCTCAAACCAATGCCAAACGATCCGAAACTAGTTAAAGAACGTGCAAACAAATCAAAATGTACTCAAAACTAGTAATTTAACAATTGAAAACCATTTCCAACTCCACACAAAAAGTCAACAAACTCAACCCCAGGCCCACGTGCTCGGATTCCAAAACTCTTGAAGATAAACATTACCCATAGCACGACGAACTCAAATATCTAATTATTCCCAATTTCATGTTCAATTTCGTAGTCAAAACTCAAAAATATCATTTCTAAGTTTTCTTCCAAAATTTCCAATTTCTACCAATTTTCATGTTACAATCCATACATGTTCATGAAATATAATCAAAAGTGGGTTAGAAACACTTACCCTCAATAGATGGATGAAATAGCTCTCCAAAATCGCCCCAAAATCGGCTTCAAAAGAGAAAATGAGATGAAAATGAGCAAATTCCGGATTTGCTAATTTATATTCTGCCCAGGTACTTCCTCTTCGCAATTGCGAAAATTCCCTCGCGATCGCGAAGGCCAATACTACCACCGCTAGTGTTTCCTCCTTCGCGATCGTGAGGGATCTCACGAGATCGCGAACAACAGCAATCCAGACCTACGCGAACGCGAGCCCAGCTCCGCAAACGCGAAGGCTAAGCCTTCCATCTCTCAAAAATTGCCTTCTGCGATCGTGAACCCCATCACGCGATCGCGATGAGCATCCCTTCCACATAGGCCAGCCATATTAACACCGCATTAGTCCTTCACCACACGAACATGAAGCACAACAAGACCAAGCACCGCGATCGCGATCCCCCCCACCCCCAGCTCGATCGCGAAGAACAATTCTTCACAACTCCCAAACAACACTCCGCGATCGCGAGTCCTTCTCCGTGATCGCGATACACACCCCTTACACCAGAAATTGGGAATCACAAAACAAAGAGAACTGGTCCGGAACCATCCCGGAACACACCCGAGCCCTCTAGGACCCCGTCCAATCATACCAACAAGTCCTCATATATTATTCAAACTTATCCAAAGTTTCGAAACGCCACGAATAACATCCAAAACACGAATCGTCGAACAAAATCATTCGTTTAACTTTCAAACCTTCAAACATCGTCGAACGCATCTGCATCATACTTAGACATTACGGATCACGACCAAACTTCACACACAAGTTCCAACCAACAAAATAAACCTATCTAATGTCCCGGAACACTACCCCAAGTTCAATAACACCAAAATACACTCCAAGTCAAACTTAGAAAATTCAAAAACTTTTCAATCTCGATTCCGATGCCGTTTACTCAAAAGTCAATCCTCGATCAACTCTTCCAACTTAAAACTTCTGAATTAAGAATTATTATTCCAAATCAACTCCGATATTCTTGAAAAATCAAAACCAACTACACGTGCAGGTCATAATACATAAAGTGAAACTACCCAAGGTCTCAAATCGTCGAACGAGACGCTAGAGCTCAAAATGACTGGTCGAGTTGTTACACCTAAATATTAGAAAATTAATCAAATTAGATATTCCTAAATATTAGAGAAAAAATTAAATGACTATTTTGCCAAGTGTAAACTTTGTTTTTTAAGGGTAAAAAAAACGAACGATATTTCGCTAAGGGTTTCATGCTTTTAATATAGTATAGATATAGATATAGATGAGGTTTTGACTTTGGACTTCTTGGTTTCCATTTATTCATCAGATTGCTGCAAAATAATAAAATATTGATTTCTAAAAAATATGTCAGTACTTATGGGACGCAAACTCCATTCTAGAAAAGATCAGCATCATATTAAGCTTGACTCGTAAATAATGGAATAAATATTCTAATTTATTTATTATTTCTGCACATCTTTTGTTTCGTCACACTTTTCCCTTCATGTATATATTCCTTCTTTGTTCTTTTTAGTTATTTGTGGAGTAGAAGTAATCTTCTTGTTGAGCAAGAAGTTGATAAATTCTTTGGTTTTTTGAGTTAGTCGACCAAAATTCTAATTTTAGAAATCGTCCTATTATTGGTATTGTCGTCTGGCACTTAACAATATGTGATTTATGTGATGAGAACACTGATTTACAGAAAGAACCTTGATGGTCCCATGTTAACTTAAGATAAATATATCCAATACACATTTGCTTCTGCTAATTTCTGCTCCACCACTCTAACATGTAATCATAAGAAAAATTACTCCAAAGTTGTGCGTCCAGCTTGTTTGTTAGCTGATGCAGAATTATGCTGAAGCGACTTTCTGTTGGCTTGCCATGCAAGTCAGGTAGACATTCCACACATAAGAAAATGTGTTGACCACTAGTGGCTGTCAATACAGTAACAACATCTATTTAGTTATCTTCTGAACTAGACATATATGTACACATTATTTATGAAAGAGTTTAAGTTATGTACACTGATAATGTGCAAGTGTTTTACATTAGGCAAAATGGAACTACGGTAATATGTAACTCTTAATGTCGATTTTGATATGATAACCTGAAAAGATAGTGAGAATATGCTATTACCAGTTAAATTACACTGCAAATGGAAAGTGTATATAACTTAAAATTATGAAAAGGAATGATCCATAGTCCTCTGATGAGATGTAAAGGGTAAAAAAGATATCTGATCGGTGATCCAAGTTGTGAAAATTTCATCTATAGGTCGAAGAGGCCTTGAGCATACCTGTAAATGAACAGGGACAAATTTGAATGTGATAAAATCGCATATGGGCCAGTACATAAGACCATTAATAGCAGTAGGAACCAAGTCACGTTTGAGTCTGGCAGCAATCTCTGAATTACTTTCTCCTGGTATAGCAACAATGGGAAAATCAGAGAATAAAATGCATGTGTCAGGACTAATTTGGACCTTTGGGTTGAGCAACTTGTCATATATCAACTAAAGTAGCACAATAAATCTAGAAGAAAGACAGATTGCTACCTTGTGCTGCAGCGTTCATGGAGAAGAAGATAGCATTCATGGTAGGTCCATATACGATCTGCCCTAAAGCTATCTTTTTAAATGTGGTGATCACGTCGCGCTTTGGAAAAAATGCTGACAATGCATTGTACCAGAAATGAAGTGAAGGTCCTAAAATTAGCACTCCATAGCCAGCTACCCGCAATGTTCTTATTAGATCATACTGCTCTGACAGTGAACCAGCAATTGTCTGTGGAGTGTGTAGAAAAAGCACAAACAGGCATAAGACAGTTGCACATAATTAATGAAATTTACCTGTAAGTCTTCTAAACTAGTTTTTACTTGAACTCTGTCACCGGTAGAGTACAGAGGCGGATCTAGCCTTCTGATATAAGATTCAACTGAACTCATAATTTTCGATGCAGAACATCAATTTTTGTTTAAAAATCTTCTAAAATTGCAACAAAATAATAGATATAATCTCATAATTTTAAAAATAGAATGAGTTCAATATTAAGAACCTGAAAGGCCGAACTATAGAGTTTAAATTCTGGATTCGCCTCTCGTAGAGTGCGTACCTGAGACGACAAATCAGCAGCAATGAGAATAAGAGTGCAAGTGATGGTCTTGGTGAGAATGGGGCGAGAGTTGAGCATTTCTAAATACCACCCGATGAACCCAACGTTGCTGGAAGCAGATGATGATGAGAAAAACCTGCAGGGAGTTGAGTTTGACAGCTGCCGCTTCAGTTCCATTGTCTTAATTCTGTTCAAAGTTTGAGGTACTCTGGAATAGACTTTGGAATGTTGAAGTTGGTGACGTGATATAGGATATTGGTGGACCAGCTTGAAGCTATTTCTGAGGAAATTAGAAGCAAACATCTCTGTCTTCTTAGGACAAAATGGAAAACCTCTTCCTATTTTGATTTGAACATGAAAGAGAGAAAGGAAGTTCTTCTAAGAAGCTCTTATGTTTGCTTTATATACGAAAGAGCTCAAAGACAAGTAGGAAAGAGAAATTGAGCTGATAACCTGTCCAAAGAGAAGTGAGAATGGACTATAGGAGAGCTGCCTACTTTCTGGTGTAAAGTTTGGCAGGTTATAAATGGGAGCAATGCCTTTAAACTCCATGCATTCACGTTATTAAAAGATATTTATGCATGAAATCATGTTATTTGTAAGCTTTTTGCAAGTAAATTTATATGGTAAGTATATATATTAGTAATCTCATAAAAATACCAAGCTCCTCAACAAGTTAAACTGTACTGATAAATTTTATTACAGTTTTAGGGTTCATTTGGTTTAAGTTTTTGTAATGACCCGATAGGTCTTTTTGAGTACTAACCTTAATTTTAGTGTTCCGACATCTCTCATAGCTTCATTTGATGTTTTTTGATTTGCCTGCGTGGTCCGTGTCCTTTTCGGAAAGCTTTTGCGTAAAATTTTGAAAAATGTGATTTTTTGTATAAAGTGAGACTTGAGTGGACCACGGTCAACATTCTTGGTAAACGACCTCGGATTGGTGTTTTGACGATTCCGGTAGGTTCGTATGATATTTTTTAACTTGTACGCAATCTTGGTTGGGGTCTGGGGTAACCCGAGTGCATTTCGGCGCGTTATGTGAATAATTGTGAAAATAAGTTTTAAGTTGAAAGTTCTTGAGTTTTGATGATCGATTCTTGTCATTTAATGTTATTTTGATGATTTGAGATAGCGAGCAAGTTTGTATAATATTATTACACTTGTGTGCATATTCGGTTTGGAGCCCGAGGGGCTCGGGTGAGTTTTGGAAGTGTTTCGAAAGAGTTTGAAATTGCTGGTGTTCAGTTCCAAATCTCACATTTGCGAGGTCTGGATCGCATTGGCGAGCCTCGCTTTTGCAGTCAAGCGATCGCATTTGCGAGCATGGGCTGGAGGGTCTTTGCATTTGCAATGAAAATTGTCGCATTTACGGACAGTGGGTGGTCGCATTTGCATCCATGGACTCGCTTTTGCGATTAGGAATTGGGGCTAGCAGCTTTGTAAATGCGAAGCTTAGCTCGCATTTGTGATGAGGGGACTCCTCGCATTTGCGATACTTTTGTCACTTTTGCGACTTCTGGGAGCCTGAGGCACTGATCGCATTTTTTATTAGTGTTCCGCATTTGCGGACGTCGCATTTGCGAATAAGTATTTGCAAATGCGATACCTAAAGCTGGGTAAATAAAGGAAAAAAACGAAACATAGCTCATTTTACACCATTTCTCAACCCCAAACACTCTAGAAGTGATTTGTGAAGAATTCTTTCTTTCCAAATTCATTAGTAAGCAACTCTAATTTTTTTTCTATCAATTCCCCATTACTTTTCATGCGTTTTTAACATCAAATCCTGGTATTTTATGGTAGAAATTAGGGGTTTTGGATAGAATTTAGGAATTTAGTAAAATTGAGATTTAGACCTCAAATCGAGGTCGAATTTCGAAATAAATTACATAACCAGGCCAGGAGGTGAATGGGTAATCGAATTTTGGTTCGAATCTCGGGTTTTGACCAAGCGGGCCTGGGGTTAACTTTTGTTGATTTTTTCAATTTAACTAAAGATTGAACCTTTTTTATTTGTGGGTAGTTTCTAAAGATTTTTCGAATTGTTTGTAAGTTATTTTGCTAGATTTGGTTGGTTTTGAGGCTTGTTCGAAAGGAAAAGTCATGGTTGATTATTGAGTTGGTTGCGCAAAGAGGTAAGTGTCATGTCTAACTTTGACTTGAAGAAATTAGGACTTGTTGGTCTATTTGTTACGTGAATTATGTGTGAAAATGACGTATATGCGAGGTGACGAGTGTATATGCGCTGTCATGGGTGAAAGCATGCGGGTTGGTCTATTTACCTTTATGTCATCACTTATTCCATGTTATCTCTTGTTATATGCTTTGATTGCTACATAATCTTACTTGTTATCCATGCCATCCTTGTTACCCGTCAATTAGTTGTTACCTATTTTGGTTCATTCATTTATCACTCAATATCTGTTTACCTGTTATATGTTCCTACCTGTATTAATTGTAAATATTCATTTTCTCATGTCTTTACTTATCTTTATGTCACGTCCCGACCATGGGGAGCGTAACCGGTGCTCAACCGAGTTATCCCAATTAAGCAAGCCTACGTAGTGTCTACCATCCAACCTTGCCCATAAAATATTTGACAATAAATTACAAGAGATAGACAATGAGAGGATGAAAGAGTTTAATATCATATTTCATTACTTACAACAGCTTCATTGATAATTACCAAAAGGATTAGAAGTTCATAGTTTAAAAAGTGGAAATATGTCCGACAACAACCACATCCTTAGATTGTTTCCCAAATCAAAACTCAACCCACAACATGTCTACGAAACCTCTAAGTGAACATGAGTACAATATGGAAGTGCCGGCTACAAAGCTCCAGCTATACCTCAAAATACAATGTACACAAATTAAAATAACATAAGGCCCCGGACTGAAGTAGGGTTCACCAAATCAGCTGAGAAGAGGGTGCGCTGCTAACAATGATCAGTGTCGCCTGCTGAGGAACCACCTGCATCCATTAAAGATGCAGCATCCCCGGCAAAAGGGACATTAGTATATATGTAATAGTACTAGTATGTAAGCTAAATATCCTCTCATGGAATAGAATGCCACCATAAAAGGAGAGAAACATGGAAGCAGTAAGAGAATCAATAATATCTAAATGTCAAGTTAAAACAAAGTAAAACTTCAACTAAGCATTATCATTTTAGGTTGGGAGATCCTTAGTACTGACACACCACCATGAACATGGCATGGAGTCCTATCTCCGCCAGATCGGATAAGCTGTCTCATCCCAATATATGCGGGTTGACATAGAAATACAATACCACCATGTGCGCGACATGGCATCCGATCTCCGCCCGATCGGCTAAGCCGTCTCACCACAATGCGGTATGGGTCAACATGGTTCTTGCTAGCTATAAACTCATCCCAATCAAGGAAAATAATCTCAATATAACATAATGGGGGTTCGCCCCTCAATCAACTCCTACACCGATACGTGTAGTTTCGGGCTTGGGCATTTATAACTCAGCCTTCTTCGGTGACCTAACGATACTCCCAAAAATATTTATATAAATAAAATATTTATCTCATAGCTTTCATAGAATCTTTTATTTCTTCGGCACTCTTGGCCATACATGATAATCTTCATCCTTGGCACGATGGCCGCATTTCATATTCCATATTTTTTTTCCTTCACTTTTAAGGATCATCATAAAACATCGAAATGAAGAATATTTGAGAATCATGACTTTCAATACATGAGTAATAAGAACTTTAAACACATTGAATTTCTTCCAAAGGAGAGCATAATAATTTGCAATCAAACATGAGCTAAAATTATAGCATTTTGGATAAATTAATGATTGAAGCAATTTGGAACAATAGAAATAGGAACTTAATCAAACCATAATTGAAGTCTACGAGGAATTTGTGAAATCCGATTCTACGGAAGGAGTTTAGCCAACATACCTTGATTGAGCTTTCCTTAGAATTACTATAGCGTTCCCCTACTCTTAGTAACTTCAATATATAGAAACATAACCAAATTGAACAATTAGTAGGGAGGCGTTCATAAGCTTAGCCATTACTGACATTTCACCAGACACTAGGTGTGCAAATTTGACTACGAGGTTCTATAGTGGAATTCCTTTATTCCGCAACCAATTTCAAATAACAATCTATCCATGATAGTTCAAAAACCTCCATATCACCTTCATCGATACATGCATTCCCTATGACACACCCCAAATCAAGAATCACACCTCACATTCTTTTCATTCACCCCAAATTTTGAGTTAGAGGGATTATGGCTTCCGATCACCATCCCATAAGCCCCATAATATTAAAAATCTATTCTTAAACCCATTATGAACTTTGCATGAAAGCTTAGGGGCAAAAACTTACCCGGTTGATTGAAGACCTAGTGAGTAGCTTTTTTGAATCTTCAAGATTGAGAAAGAATTAAAGAGTAGAATGGTTAGAGCTCCCCCCTCTCTCTAGAGTGTTTTCCCTTCCAAGAACGAGCTTATTCCCTCAGAAAAAAATGACCCCCTTAAGGCTTATATCAAAATAGAGTTGGGTTAAAAATTTCTCAAAAATGCCCCCACGAATCAAATCTCGATCACGGAATGCATTGCAGATGGGATATGCGGTCCGGGAACTGAACTGCGAAATGGTCTCAAAATATTTAGGTTGTTCTTTTTAAGTTTGCGACTGATTCAGCAGTTCGATGATCGATTCCGCGGTCGCATATTGGACTGCAAAATTTCCCATGTTGATATGTGACGGATATGCGGTCTGCAAAACGAATCTGCGATCGCGAATTGGACCGCAAAATGGCCGTCAAAATCTAGTTTCTCCTCGTTCAATCCGCGATGGTTCTGCAATCAGCAGAACAGATCCGCGGTCACATAATAGACAACAAAAATGCCATATTCTGCAAATATTTCACCAACTCCATAATGCATTGCACAGCCCAAAAAGTTCATATCTACAACCTTCCAAACACATTAGCCTACCTCGCCACCATAAAACGTTAAATCCTTGGCGAACTTTTACGGGACTTTACATCCTCCCCCACTTAGGATCATTCATCCTCAAATGAGGTCAGAGTCTGCCATAGACACCCAATGTGACTTAACTCTTTATTCACACACCAAGGGTTCCAAATTTTGGCTAATTCTCTAAATTTCCAAAAATTTTGGCAGAGTTTCCTCTGTATTTAGGCCTATGCACCTGTCAGAGAGCCCCAGAAACCAATCCGAACAACATATTCATAACACAACAATGCATCATAGCACGAAAACAACACCAACTATGCCATTACAAGCATTATATTGCCAAAAAGGACATCTTAGCATAACTGTACAGTTTGGAACATAGCTCGTAAAAGTAAACTTCTAACATTCTTTCAAACACAAC